GGAATGCTGAACAAGTAGACATGATATGCACATGCGAACAGTTTTTGCCTTGCGATGCCACTGTCTGCTCGTAATGAAGCAACACAAAAGATAGAAAAGCCAGGAGAAGACATTGCTTCATGAGGCGTTTGGAAAAGACGGATGTTTTGGGGTTGTTTTGGTGGGGGGTTTTTACCCAATAAGTAATGTACAATTTTGCTTTTGACTTGCGTAATGAATAAGGAATGGGTTTTTTGGGGGGGTTTTTTATGGTGGGTTTTTTTGTTAGGGAGGGGGGGGGTCATTGTGGGGTAGGGTTTTTTTCTCTTTTTTTCCTTTGCGATGTATAAGGTGGAGAGAGCGCGGACATATTTACATGGAGCTGCCCTGTGCTATTTGCAAAATATTTTCTTTTTTTAAATGCTCAACAATTTGTTCAGTACATGTAGACGCTGTTAGATTTTCATTGGTTGTTGTATGATTCATGTTTGGCTGCTGTTTGTTTACATCTGTGCTCATTAATTTTTACTGGATTCTTTATGTTCTTGAATTTTTGTGATTTATAATTTTCTTTGATTTTCTTCTGTAGCAGCAACCATATTGGTCGATAGTTTTTTCCTTTATGTTACATGTTTTTTAACTAAGTCTTAGCATAGATGTAAACTAGTTTATTTTCTTGTGCGAGTTTTTGAATTATTTTTCAAAAGACATAATTTGATTTTTTACCTTACTGTGGCTGATAAACTGTGTTTATAATCGATAATCAATGTTCATTTAAGTTTTCACAATTCTGAAGGGAGCTGAGCTGAAAGAGTTTGTTAAGATTTAAACGGGACTAAACATGTGTTACAGCATTCTAGGTTTTTTTAAGACGCCAAAGTTGGTTTAATAATAAATTAGATAAAAATAATAATTACACTTTAGTGATTACCTTGGGGAAAGTTGGGTTACCATGGCAAACATACGTACGTAAATAATAATCGTAAAACAACGGCCGTTTAAGCGAAATAAAACAGAAAATTGATCCCATGTAAGGCAACATAACTGTAGCAGTGTCTGCAGGTTCTGGTGAGGCTTCTGAAGACAGTCCCCCTCTGTAGCTGGAATCTGTGTTATTTACCAAGTTTCATTTCGTTCTAGATCAGCATTTTTTCTTGATTCGGTGTATGCAAGCTCTTTATGTCATTTAAATTTGGATTTTTTAAAGATTTGGCAGTATCAGACTTAATTTGTAGAGTAGATTTTTATTCCTTGCTCATTATGTTTTTTTGTGTGTGTATGTATGTGTCAACACTCTGACTTTTGAAAGTGTTATTGCCATAGTCTACATTTCTCATTCTCTTCTTTTTTCTTCTCTTCTCTCCTCTCCTCTCCTCTCCTCTCCTCTCCTCTCCCCTCTTCTCCTCTCCTCCCTTCTCTTTTCTTCTCTTCTCTTCTCCTTCATTTACAGTCCCAGAGCAGGTGGTCAGAGGGCACCACTGGGAGATCCGACTTTTTTCTCTTCCCCTCAGTTGTCTCTGTTTGTCTGTCTAACTTTGTCACTGCGTAAGCTATTGTCTCTTTTCTTTGGCACTGACCAGAGAAGTGGTTGTGCAGCCAGATTGTCCTTCTTGGATGGGGGGAAAAAAGCAGCCATTTCAGCACAATTCAGCACAATTCAGCACAATTCAGCACAATTCAGTTTCATTCGTCTGTGATCTTCAAAATCAAACACACTTGATTTTTTCAGGTTGCAAGTCAAATCGGTCATATCTTCATGCCATTATAATGGTAGCTTTTGCGTCCCTCTGTGAAGGAAAATCTGGCTTGCCCCTGGCTCAGTTTGATTGAATCTGATTGGCAGTGTGTACTACTAGGTATTAGAATAAGGCGTCACGAGTAGGTGAATGCACGGTTGGAGGTTCTGTCCTCCAGTGTTGTCGAATGGTTAATGGCTGACTACTGATCGTATGTGATGTTGTCAATGAAGAGATTCAGAAATCCTTCAGAATCTGTGCTCTGACTTTGGTGCTGTATGAGGATGAATATAGAAAACATGGCCTCATTACCTCTTTATGTGCATTGATTAATATTTATTTTATGTATGGTCACGGTCATAACACAATTGGTTAAGTCATTTTTTGAAAGTATTTTTTGGGGGGGGAAAAGGAAAAGTAATCAATGTCTCTGTAATAAGACTTTAAGTACATGAAACAATACTCTGCTATTTTGAAGGTGACAAACGAATAGCAGACATTTTTTCTAAACCAATAACTGAAAACCTGAAGAAAAAGAAAAAAACTTGGCTTTGGCAGTTGTGTTATGGCCGGGACAAGAAGCTCCTGATGATGTGTTTGTTGTTTCTGTTCTGTAGTGAACTTTTTATGTCACAGGCTGTCCATGACAGGAGAATGGTGCATGTCTGCCAGCTCTTCAGATGTATGTGCAAAGCCTAAATTTTGAAATTTATTGTTGATAAATTACAGTTTTTTAAATCTGTGGTATCGGTTGTATTTATACCAAAAATATTTTGTTGAAATTCAAATTCTAACTGTTGAAAAAAAAAAGCAAGAAAAGGTACATAAAGTAGGTACAATTGTTTAAAAAAATGAAACAGATTTTTCTCACCTGAAAGATTTTGGTGTTTGGGCTGAATACATTGGAACAGCTTGCTTCACGTGTTATTATGCTCTGACCGTGTGACTAGAAAAAATAGGTCAACTCTTTCTTTGTACTAAAACTGTTGTTGATGTCATTCTGCGGGTTCTCATTTTTTTAAAATTGATTAAAGTCTCTTTGCTCAAGGCAAGGATTGATTTTTACCCATTGCAGCTTATTTAGCTATGAGTTAATCCTTCTGGAAATTAATTCTGAGCAAGGAATGCACGGGTAGAGCGTAACGGCGTTGATTAGTATTATTTTTCTGTAAGTAAACTCACCGGTGGAAGATATGACTTGCCATTTTCAAAATACTCAGTTTGTGGGGCGAAACACAAATTTGTTTTTTTGAATGAATGCTTGAGCTTTATCCCCTTCCCCGCATAACCTTAGAACATGTCAGGATATTATGAAGAATAGTTTTATAGGCCTGGTAATGAAGGGTTTAGGTGACTTTAAACCAACTTCATGATTTTCTTCATCTCTTTTCTTTTGGTCATATTAAAAACATTGTTGGAAGGTTCTGCGAAAAATGAGTTTTGTCTTGTAGATGTCAGGCCAAGATGCAGACTCGTCTCACCAAATTGAATTTCTTTTCCATCGGAGTTGCAGCACACCTCAAATGAAATAGTCTCAGGCTTTTTCTTGACGAAATCCTCTGCCCCGAAAGCTGCATATATTGGGAAGAGTCACATTGCTCAATATTTTCATTGCTGGTAACAACAGACTGTTTTTTCCTCTGTGGGTCTGAGTTTTTTTGGGTTTTTTTAACTTGTGTGTGGTGGAGGGGATATGCTGCACTGCAATATCCCCCCCCCCCCCCCCCCCCCCACGCCTTCCGCCTTTCACTCACCTTTTTCCTGAACAAAACAGCTTAAGATATTCTATCCAGAAGCTGTCAAGTTCAGCAGTTTTCTTGTTGTTGTTGTTGGGTTTTTTTACCATCTGTTCGGAGTTATTTGGAAGCGGATCGTCTGCACACACTGTCACTCACTCTAGTAGTAGATGTCGTTGGTCCACTCTGATGATTTCCAAATTAATACAAGCTCAAGGTGTAAGAAGATATCAGTAGGGAAAACAATACGTACTTCGAGATATTTTAATCGGGAAGCTGTCTTGTTTGGCATTTTTTATGGCCGTCCATTCCAAGTTACTTGCAAAGTGGATCACACACACACACACACACACACACACGTATAGTCACTCTAGGCGGTGTCCTATTTGAGGGAAAGTCAGGTCAGCATAATCATCCGATGGAACAGCCCACAAATTTGGATTGAGATGGTGACATTTGTATCTGGTTGCTGTTGTTGTAGTTGGAGGTATTTGTTTACTCTGAGACGCAATAAATTGTTGAAATTGTGCTTCGGAGCAGGGAAATGGCAGAAAGAGAAAAGACATGAGTGAAAGGGTGCTGTGTGCATCAGTTTGTGTGACAGGTTTCCCAAAATATGAACCCCCTAACAGCATACTCACACATTTTTTCGGAAGGGGGGGGGAGGGGGGGGTCTTATTTATGTTGTTTTATTTTTTGTTGGTTTAGATTGGGGTGACCTCGTGTGTAAAAGGACGCAATGGTTGACAAGTTACCATAAAGCTCAAGCATTCATATTATTTCATATTGTGCCTTTTTTTAAAAAATACCTAAGGCTTGAGTGGTAGGTCTGTTTTCCGGTGTAATACTTTTACTTCAATCTGGTCTGATATCTTTTTTTTTACACAGCTTTAGAAAATTTTAGAGAACTGGTAACTAGTTTTCAAAGCACTTTGACGTCTCATATATTTTGACAAGACAATCTTGATAATTTTTGCTGTCTATGTTTCCATGTTTTAGTTTTACATGGTATTGCCCCCTTTGCTGCGCCGCCCCCTGAAAAAAAAATTTGAAAAGATTTTCTCATCAGTGTACATATATATGTATAACTTAAGCTATTTGCTGTACAATTTGGATTTGTAAAACTATTTGCTTTACAATTTGGATTTGTAAAACTATTTGCTTCACAATTTGGATTTGTAAAACTATTTGCTTTACAATTTGGATTTGTACTGTGAGAGGTTGAAACGGAAGGGCTCACAGGTTAA